CGTTCATAGGGGATGAAGGCGTGCGTTGCGCCACAGGATGGCCAACCGTCTCTGCGGTGTTGCGGAGACCGGATGGGAGCGCTGTCGGGGTGCTCTAGACGAGGTATTTCAGGGAGAGCGGCTCTCCTCCGGCAAGCTACGTCATGACGTTGGCAAACGAGAAGGTGAGATGGTGGAAGTCCTCCCGGGACGGTCGGGGTCCTAGGAAGGTGCCAAGCTGGCGCTCTAGTCTCCCGTAGTCGAAGCAGAGGAGCTAGTCATTTCTGGAGACGCAGGCCTCCGGTGCGTGCAGCTACAGCTCCTCAAGTCCCTCACCGATCACATCGAGGCCGGCGGAATGGAGAGGTTGGACGACGACGGGAGCCCGCACTAACTCTCCCTTCGTCGTGACGATGAAGTCTAGGTTCCCAAAGCGCACGTGCGCGCCCAGGACCCAGCTGATGTTGTGACTAGCCATCCTAGGCCAGATATGGACGTCGAGACGCGCAAAAGGCACCTACCTGGCGAGCCAATTATCGGTGTTTCGAGTTACCACCGATGAGTAAATTTGTATTATTGCGCGTCTGGCTCGGATGATGTGCTTAGAGGACACGAGGTTTATACTGGTTCAGGCAGAAAGTCCCTATGTCTAGTTCATCGCTGCTGCTCGTGTTACTAGCATCAAAAATTTGTAGTAGGGGTTACAAACGGGCGAGAGAGGGAAAGAATCCCAAGTCTCTGGTGAAAGAAGTGAGTGGGTGCTGAGAGTTCGATCGCTGCTCAGTTGTGCGTTCGTGTTGTGCTCTTGTGCGGATCTGTATCGGATCTTGATGGGTCGATTGGTTTGGGCTCTTCATGGGGCGCCCTGCTTTCCCTTTATAGGCCAAGGGAAAGCGCGCGTTACAGCGGAGAAAAAGAGAAGAACTAGAGAGGAAGAAGAAGGCCTTCAGGATCGTCGGGTCCTTCTTCTCCTTCATGCGGGTCTCGCTGACCCTGCAGATGTCAACAGGGACGGCTGCACATCGTGGTCCTGTCCGTCACGGGCGCCATGCGCAGGCGTTATCCGCCGGTCATGGCGCTCCATTCCGTTCTGGCGGACGCCGTGGTGAATTGATGCGCCTGTTAGTGTTCGTACAAGGGTTAGGCAGAACAACACCGGTACGCCCGACGCTGTTCTTGATGTGAATCGTCAGGTATGGCTCGTCGTGGCCGTGGGTTACATCGGGGCGTGCCAGTCTCTTCCCTGATGTAAAAGTTTTGATCTAGGCCCATACGCTTGGACCTGGAGTGGTTAACGACGGGCCCGACGGTATGGGTCCCCGTCGGGCGAGACGCAGCCCGCACCTAAGGGGTCTGGCGAGGCGGAGCCCACGGTCTTGAGGTCGGGCGAGGCCGAACACAAATCCAAGGGTTGGGCGAGGCGGAGATCGCAGCCTCGGGGTCGGGCGAGGCGGAGCGCGCGGCCGCGGGGATCGTGGCCTCGGGGTCGGGTGAGGCGGAGCCCGCGCACCCGATGGTCGGGCGAGGCAGAACCCGCACACCTGGGGTCGGGCTGAACTGTAGGTGCGCTCTTGACTGCTCGGTTGAATCAATATTAATGACCATTAGCTCCTCTTTAAGTACCATAGTATTGGTCCCTGACACCTCGCGTCTATTATTTTATTTATTTTTTGTATTCACACAGAGGGAGAACCAGGAGAAATAACTTTATTGTTTTTTTCTTCAACCTCGGCCTAGTTTAGTTGCAAATTTTTTTGCAAAATGCAACTGTAGCGCTTTTCGTTGTTATTTGGCAATTAGTGTCCAATCATAGTCTAATTAGGCTCAAAAGATTCGTCTCGTGGATTTCGTCTAAACTGTGTAATTAATTTTATTTTTTATTTATATTTAATGCTTCATGCATACGTCTAAAGATTCAATGTGATGAAAAATCTTAAAAAATTTGACAAAATTTTAGAAACTAAACTGGCCCCTCCTCTAGCTGTGCACCAAATTTTGCCGTAACACACTGCCGACGTTTTGTCTTCTCAGCGATTTCGTTCTTTTTTTAGCCCTTGTCTTGTGCAGCCGCGATAGCGATGTATCCGCGCTCGAGAGGAGCAGCTGCGCCACCTCGGTGGCCCCCTCCCTCGTACGCACGCACGCCACCTCTCGGAGCCTGGAGGCAATAAATGAGAGGAGATGCCATGGCGACGGCGTACATACGTGTGCAAGTGGATTGATTCGCGTGCTGGCCTCGTTCAATGGAGACAATTGTTGCCGTGTGGGCGTTGTGTGTTGAAGCTATGCGGCTATTGAGGAGCGCGGCCATGGCGTCCACGGGTGTCGTTCCCCAGCGTCTGTGCCAGCGGGCGCCCTGTAGCCTATTCGGATAAGTTAAAATACGGTTTATTGTTGCGAGAGAAAAATATTATCCAACTGAAAATACTGTTTATATAAACAGTGTTTTCTTAGAGCGCTGGCCAGCCCAGCCGAACGCGCGGCTGGATCTCGGCTCCCCTTTGGAGGAATGGTGGATCTCGGCCACCGCCGGCGTCTATGGCCTATCGTGCACAGCAGCGACCCCACGCAGGCAGCCCACCAGGACCCGTGCAGCAGATTCTTCTCCATGGCCGGCCGGCCATGGCCCTGTCCCAATCCGCACCCAAGAACAAACAGGATGAACAGGATGGCCTGGGTGGCTGTGCCGCCCCCATATATACGCCCCGGCCTGGTGGCCGCGCCGCCCCCACATGCCTAGGTCTAGGTCTGGGTGGTCGCACCCCCAGCCGCGCTAGCCAGGGAGGCTGTGCCCCTAGCCACGCCGGCCTAGAGGAAGGGGACTTGCGAGAGGAGCTCGTCGGAGGAAGGAGACTTGCCAGAGGAGCTCGCCGGAGGAGGGGGTGTGCTCGCCGGCGGAGGGGGACTCACAAGAGCAGCGGCGGCGCGTGGAAGACCTCGCCGAAGAAGACAAGCGGCGACGGTGTGGTACGGCAAAAATTGGTTCGAGGTTGAAGATGAGCGCAATAAAATCATTTCTCCCGCCTTCTCTCTCCGTGAATACGTTAAATGAATAAAATAATAATCTCTCCGTATATACGTTAAATAAATAAAATAAGTTATGATAAATACATACGATTTTCAGCCTGTTCGTTGGTTGGTTTCTACACTAGTCAGTGTTGATTTATTGTGAGAGAAAAATACTGTTAACTGACTAATTTAGTTTTGTTTGTAATGACCCTGGAACATATTATATATTTTAACGGTGTCCCGCTGTAAAATTTCCCCTTTCCTTATTAGCCTAGTACAAAACCACTCTGAAACTGGCAGAGTTGCCACCTAGCACTGCCTACAGTAGTGTACACCAAAAGAAAATCCTGATTACGCGCAGCATAAAAGTGTCCACACCAAAAAAAAGCGCAGCATAAAAGTGTCCACACCAAAAAAATCTGATTACGCGCAGCATAAAGGTTAGCAAAGGCATCTGAACCACTTGGAAGTTTCTTTAGCCTATAAACCGTACTACAACAGGCTACTACAACCTGTCAAAGCAGAGGTGCGCGCTCCTCCATCATCAGCCAAGTGTAATTTTTTAGCTGAACTGGAATAAGCAGCAGGCAAAATCTCCATCGACCGGAAAAAAATGGCTTGTTCGGCTTTTTTTTTTTTCCTGTCGAAACAATATTTTTCTCTCACAATAATTCAGCCGGAAGAGTATTTTTCAGCCAGTTTTAGACCAACGAACGGGGCCAAAATATGAATGCAGCAGTAGGCAAAACGTTTTTTTGCCAAACCCGAATCGAGCAGTAGGCAAAATCTTCCTTAAGCACACCACAGCCAGCTTATGATGTGTTGCGCAGATGCTTCTCAGTTCTCAAAGCAGGTAGAACATGAACATGATGGCTGCTATTGACAAATACAATATTGATTCTCAATGCAGTTAGAACAGCCAGCTTATGATGTTTTGCAAAATTTTTCACATTTCCCGTCACATCGAATCTTTAGACGCATGCACGAAGCATTAAATATAAATAAAAAATAAAATTAATTACACAGTTTAGACGAAACCCACTAAACGAATTTTTAAACCTAATTAGACTATAATAGGACACTATTTACCAAATAACAACAAAAACGCTACAGTACTCATTTTGCAAAAAAATTTTTGCATCTAAACAAGCCCTAATACCGAGAGCAGGGCCAATCAGACACAAGATGACAAGAACAGGCAGCAATGGGGAACTGACACCAGAGTGTCACCAGCAGCAGCAGAAAAGCTCTCCTTTCTCTGTTGCACACAAACAAATCTCCTTTCTCTGTTGCACACAAACACACTCCCTGCAAAGCATCATGCCATCATCATCACATCCATCCACAACAAAACCACCAGGCAAGGCAGATGAGTAGTACTGGAGTATAGAAGGTGCCAGCAATTCCAATCCGTACCAAACAACCGGCCAACCGTGTGATCCAACCACCCACAGAACCGTAGTACCACAAGCGCATTGCCCATGCGCATATGCACATAATCGTAATCAAATCACGTGAGTGAAGCATAATCGTAATCAAAAGCACAGGCAGTAACAAGCACAAGGATTAATCTGCAGTCTGGAAGAACAAACCAAAAAAAAGAGAGGCAGATTTGACATCCCCTCAAGCAACACAAGACCAATCCATCTCACTTCTCAATTCTTCTTAAAACCTTAACGACGACGACGACAACGAGACCAAGCACACTCGATGATGACAACTTACTTTGAGTTCCTCTACGAACCAAACGAACCCAAGATCAGAAAGAGGGAAAAAAATCTGAAAACGACGGACGGACGGACTGACGCGCTCCTCTGCAGGGTGGGAGGAGGCGGCGGCGGGTGCTCATGGGCACCCGGATCGGCAAAACTAAAGCGATACTCCGAGACACAGTGAGAGGTTCTTAGGCAGCGAGATCTAGAGGGAGGGGAGGCGGCGCCATCAGACCAGCAGGTGGTGGAGCGAGCGATCCGATCTGATCTGGCTGGACGGGACCCGGACCGGGACCCGCCTCATGTGGGGCAGTCGCGGGCGATGTGGCCGGCCTCGCCGCAGTTGTAGCAGGAGCGGTCGCCGCCGCCGCCGCCGCCACCGCCGAACCTCCCTCCGCCACCGCCGCCGCCGCTGGGGCAGTCCCTGGCCATGTGGCCGGTCTGGCCGCAGTTGTAGCAGGCACCGCCGCCACCACCACCGTACCCGCCACCGCCGTAGCCACCTCCGCCGCTGGGGCAGTCCCTGGAAAAGTGGCCTTGCTCGCCGCACTTGAAGCAGCCGCCTCCGCCACCTCCGTAGCCGCCGCCACCGCCACCTCCGTAGCCGCCTCCACCGCCACCGTAGCCTCCACCGCCGCCGTCGGCGCTGGGGCAGTCCCTAGACATGTGACCAGGCTCGCCGCACTTGTAGCAAGCGCCGGCGCCGCCCCCGCCGCCGGATCTCCGGCCGCCGCCCCAGCTACCGCCGTAGCTGCGACCGCCGCCGCCAGATCCGCCCCCGCCGCGGGAGCCGTAGCCTCCCCCGCCGCCCCCGCCTCCGCCGCTCCCGCCCTTGACGTAGGATCCGTCGGGGCCGGTGACGTCGACGGCCTTGGTGCGGCCGTCGTCGCCCTCCGAGACGGAGAACTCCACCTCCTCGCCCTCGGCGAGGGAGCGGAAGCCCTCCGACTTGATCGAAGACTGGTGGACGAACAGGTCCTCGCTCCCGTCCTCGGAGAGATGAACCCGAAGCCCTTGGTATCGTTGAACCACTTCACCGTCCCCGCTGCCGCGCCGCCGTCGCCATCGCAACCCCGAACCCTAGCTGCTGCTGCCTAGGGTTTGTTTGGGTGGATTTTTTTTCTTCCTTCTTCACCCGGCTCCGCTCCGATCTTATCTGCTCGGGGCCGCGGACTCGGCAAGGTACTTATAGAAAGAGGGCGGCGCATATGAGGAAGGCGCGGGAGGATCGGACGGCTGAGATGGCTCCGGGGACGGGCGCGGACGGTCGGGCCAGGGCGGGCGGTAGCGGCAGCTACGGGTGGGGTGGGCCCATTTGGGAGTCTCACGCGTGGCGTGGGCCCGCATGGCAGGGGCGGTCGGGGGAGAGGAAGGCAGCGCCAGGGAGGCGGAGGCAGCCGCGCTGTTGATTTGGTTGGTTTTCTGTGGGTTATGACGGGTGGGCCCGGTGCCCGGCGGCAATGGACACGGTTCGATCCGGTATACACGGGCGTGAATGGCCCTCGTGCTCCTCCTCGTGATTGGTGAACTCCATACCAGTGGTACTATATATGGTTTGATTCTTTGTGGCCTGTTGTTTTTGTCGTGTCGAGAGAAAAAAATTGTAAAACTTTATTGTTTGTTTTGATGGCAATAATACGATTATGGAGGGAGGGAACTTTTTTATATAGATTATTGTTTGGTTTGATGATGATGATTTCTTGACATCAGAACCTCCCGATTTAGAAAGAAACCGAATTTCAGAAAGGATTGATCAATAAAAAGGGAGGAGATGAGAATGTGATTTGGACTAAGAAAATAAAAATTAAGGACATGCTGGGAATGTTAGGCGGGGTTAAAAAATGGCTAAAAGATTAGTTCATCTATTAGTGCTCCTATTTCCAAAAAAAAAATCTGAAAAGCACATTGATACACGACTCAAACATCAACCAAATAAAGCGAACCAGAACAAACAAGTACTAGATGCACCGTAAGAGATCCTACGTCATCTCTCTCTACTTCTCTAGTAGAACTAGGACAGGAGTCTGATCCTACATCATCTGTCTAGTAGAACTGGGACATGAGTCCGCGCCTGGTGGTCTCTCGTTGGTGCGGGAGAGTACTACGACAATTCATCGTCAACAACAACTAGACACACAATCGAACAAGTGTTTTGACCATAACTCTCGCACTGATAGCAATCGTGCAGCCATGACCGCCAAACATCAAGCTAGCAACTACTGCACACACAACGTTGCTTGAACCCTTGGTGGATCGCACAAGGAGCGACAAACGAGGCGTACCATGTGAATGTGTTATAGACGCTCAAATCAAATTTTATCTTAAATCAACGCTAACTATTCTTTGAAAAAAAACACTATCTAGTCATGCCCAGGTCATGTAGCCAAATATTACGCACTGTGATACTTGACTCGGTTTATCTTCATTTGCTTTAACCATATTCCACAACATAAAATGCATGCCATCTCAATGAGACCACATGTTTGTGGAAGACCGTGTCTCCTTTTCTTTCTATACCTTCACTTGCTATTTCATCATAGTATCGACCATATACATGGCATATCATGCTTGTTTGACATACAATTTGCGCCTTGATGCATGACAATTTATCCATTTAAGGATATCAGAAATGTATGATATAATCAATATCATGTTCAATACTTTGCAAACATGTTAAGCTTTTAATCGTGTTGTCATTCAATTCACTAAAGTGCTAGATGCAATTTCAATACTCTACAGAAGGGAGGAGTAACTCAACTGTTGTTGTTTTTTTTTATCAAAAATACCTCTGTTTTTTACTCTATAGAAGGGAGGAGTAGCTCAACTCATAGATAATAGTTAGTTGATAATACTTGTCAATTGGCACGAGAGTATTTCAGTTAATTTTGCTACCAATTAGCTGCTTTTGAGATACTAGCTAGCTAAGAGCATCTCCAAGACACTCTTTATACCTCCTCTAATTTTGAGGAATAGATATTTTGGTGGAAAAATACCCTCCAACAACCTCTTCATCAATTAGATATCCAAATATAGATATCATCTGTTTCGGATTTCTCGCTATCTAAAGATGGAGAGCAAGGATGGCTCTCTAGACTGCGTACAAGATATAGAAAAGCCGTCGGAGAATACAAAAATATAGAAAACGATTTTTAATTAAATGACTCTTCAAATGATGATTTAGACTTTTGGAGATGTTCTAACACTTTGCTAGTCTATTAGCTATAGTTAGTTAGGTATCTTGCCAACAATTAGGTGATCTATTAGTTGGACAGTATAGATCCACCACTAAATTGTAGCAACTGTCTACTATTTGAGTAGATCTAAATAGACCCTAAGATGAATTTTGACAGAGCATATGAACGTTTAAACACACCCTAAGATGAATTTTTAAAGAGCATATGATGGGCCTGCAAATCTGGTTGGGCAACATTGCTATTACATAGTACACCATAATCGTACGATTACACTTTCCTCCATTCCAATGCGTTTTGACATGATCACATCCCAAAAATCCAACTTTGAACATTGACGTGCCAATTCAGAATATCTGTCAAGATATCAGCAACCGAAGAAACTTGATTAGAGTTGGACACGGCCCTAGACATCGATTACTTCTGCCTGAACACTAGACCAAGTGATACCGTGCCTTCTCTTTTTCTATTTTAATCTTGACGAGTAGTTTCCAAGTGTGTAATTTCTTGCCCCAAGCTTGCAAATATTAGAACGGAAGGATCTTTTGACCATTAGCTGGGGCGCTGATGGATACTCCTGAGCACGCCATGTTTAGCTTGAGCTCACATCCTAGGAATCACCGGTTCAAATTTTGGCGATACACAAAAACATCACATGGCATCAACAAACAGCCTGTTCGCTTGCTCGTAAACGATCGTAAATTTCCAGCCGGGAACAGTGTTTTTCTCTCACACCAAACCAGCCAGCAGTAAATAATTCACGATACGATACGGCCTCCCGAACAGGCTGGAAAAGGACAAACAAATCATACTTCGTACAGCTGACAGTTTTGGAGACGATTACATTTAGCCACTGCTACCGGCCCACAGGCATTGTACTACAAACATGTTCCAGAAACCCATCAATTTGAAGCAGTAGCAGTTCCATGCACTGTCCGGTTCACTGAAGTTCAAAGCGTTGACCTGAGTTGCCGTGCCATAACAAAAGAATAAACTGTGGAGGCAAAGGCAATGCCGTGTACCAGATATCCAGTCTGTACAGACCATTTCGTTTGGGTTCGTTTGGCTTATAAGCCATGATTGAAAATACTGTTCGCTGGTTTAGTATAAGAGAAAAATACTATTCGTTGGCTGATAAGCCATGGCTTATAAGCCAAATATGACCAAACGAACAAGCCAAACACGTTGTCACTAACTAAGTGTAACAGTGTCATTGAAATGGTTTATGGTGCGTGCCGCTGCAGGGCCTTGAAAGCAAGACTCCCATTGTTGCCATGTCAAGTCGTTCTCCAAACCCAGATAAGAAATAAAGCCAACACATGTGGCCCTATTCGCTTGTCTTATGAGCTGTACTATTTCAGCAAACGAACAGTGTTTCTCTCTCACAACAAATCAGCGAACAGTACTTTCAGTCATTGCTTTTTAGCAAAGCGAACAGGGCCATAATGCTTGCCTTGCCATCACTGCACATGAAGAAAAGATGCGAGCAACAATGATTTCTACAGTGCAAGTGTGAGTTCCCATCACAGCTCAGCATCTTTGTTTGTGGTTCGTGGCTAAGCTAATAAGCTATTGCTGTCTCATGATTTCATTTTGCACATTCCTTAGCATCCAAAAGACTTATCAGTGCAGAGGCATCAAAGCTCATAATTAACAACCTATCGGACCTTAGTGAGGCATTCCATCCTTAAAGCGTCCTCCAACTGAGAGAATAATGATGAGAAGGTTCCTGCAGAAAAAAAAAAACAGAAAAATGAGTGTCCTTGTCACCACGACAGGTACCTTAATAATAAGCAAGTCCATTGGGATAACAGTAGTCACATGAGGTTAATGTAATATCTGCATCTGTGCATATGCATATATAGTACACATGAACAGCACATTTTGTAGCAGTTTCAGTTTTCATGAAACAAATACGAAAGAATTAGCCAGGAGATTATTTGATAACTTTTGGTTTGATTCGTAAAATGAACAGTCCATCCTCCACAACCAAGACAGTCGGTAATAGAAGAGCTTTAAAACCAACATGTCATATGATCCGGATGTACAGGCTCTGCCTCCTACAGACCAACAGCCAATCTAGAAATGGTCCCTAAGATACCCTAGTGTCATTTATGTCTCCATCGTGAGATTAGCCACTAGCATCTGTCTAGAGCCGGTGACAAACCTGTCAAGCCATATGCAAGAGCCAGCCAGACATCAATACCACCACCACTCCCTCTTTACATGATAGACAACTATTCTTCAGGACCAGTTTATCACTATCGGCCCAGCACAGCTTGGCAAAGTTGGACTAGACATGCTACAGTAGTTACATATGCCAGCCTGTAGACTTGGCGTTTATTAGTGCATCTAACTTTCAGTCTCGATGAACAGATTTCATTATAAATAGGGAGCACATGGCGTAGTAAAAGCATCGACGAACTATTACAAAAGGAAGTCACCATCCTGGACACCCAATAGCATTACCAGAATGGGTTTCAGATCTCATGTGTCATGAATGCATAGTAGTAGTTCATTCAACTGTTCTATACAGTAGATGGGAAGGACATAAACAGCTCAACATGGAGGCACCATGCTATTTGAGATGGATTTGATACGTGTATAGTTACACACGGCCTGTTCGCTAGTTGATTTCTGGGCTGATAAGCTCGGCTAGTGCTGGTTTGTTGTGGAAAGAAAACACTGTTGGCTGGTTGATAAGCCCTGGCTGAAATCAACAAGCGAACAGGCTGACCAAGACCATAAATGCATGTCATATCTTAATGCAATCTGATAAATGTGTTTCAGTATGATCGTGTAATATGCATAGTCACATAAAGACCATGGGACTACCTGATAATGCTTTATTATTCAATAATGAACCTTTGATTAGGAGGGTCCCAGGAATTTGTTCAAACACCTACACGAGGATAAAAAAAAAGATGTGCGACAATTATTTCAGAAAAGAAACTTAACAAAGTATCAGAAACGTAATTTGCAGTCAACATACTGTAATACGAAATGATATTCCCTTGACAACACTTTGTAACTTTGCAGTGCTGTCTTCTAGAGAACCGGCATAATCATCCCCATGCAATATTGCAGCCTCAATCTGCTCATCTGACAGCGTGACCTAAAGAAATATTTCAAGCCAGTATTAACACGAGAACACAATGCATAAACATCATAGATCTCAAGGAGATCAGTGTTTACATGTCTGTTACGATGAAATTTAAGAAGCTGAATTAGTGTCATACTAACAAAGAAACTTACATCGACCGAAAAGGATAACGAATCAGTTTTGCATGATAGATTAGAAGCTAGAAAGAAAGCCTCAGTTGATTTCAGAACTTGGAATGCACCATGTTCACGCCGAAGGCCCTTATTTCATTATGCCAAATATACATTTGAAAACAGAGGTTAGACAAAGTGCAAATATAGTAGAGTAGCAATGATTCTTACATAAACATAGCCGCTTGAGAAACAGGTGAAGTAGACAGGAAGGTTTCTGAATGAAGTTAGTCAACAAGATTGCTTCAACCTTATTACAAGGTTAACTAGGCAAATAAGTAAAACAACAAACAAAACAATCTGAACATCTCAACTATGCAAGTTTGGATACCCAGAGCTTCACAGAACAGATATGAGCTGGAGTATAGTGCAGATATGAGCCGGAATTTTTTGTTTGGTTTGTTAACGAGACCCAGCTGGGTAACTTGTCAGTTTGAATGACAGAACATATGTAAAGGGACAATAGGTGAAATGATGCCAACCTGAAGCATAAAGGAATGGTGGTTTTTTGCTGGAGCACTGTGGCTGAGGACCATTTTTCTTGGTCTTGGAGCAACGAATGACCAAGCAAGGCCCCATCTAGCTGTCTGACCTTGTACAAATTCAGTAGTTTTCACGACTGAGGCCCCAACCTCACGAACCTTTGAGATCAATAACTTTAAGTTTGCCTTTCTGCCGATCATCGATGTAAACCACCTAAACAACAAAATAACAAAACCATCGTACAGATGAATACAAAAACATAACACGCATTACCATAGTGAGAAAAGCTTTGAATTACCTGAAAGAGTTCTTAAGGGAAACACTATCTTCAATGATTTGTGTAACAAATGCCAGCTCGCCACCAGGGCAAACCATCTCTTCAGCTGTCCCACCGCATGATGTTTTTGGGTTAAGACCAGCTTCCTCTATGCTCTCAAAGAATGGAGGATTGCACATACAGAAGTCAAAGCTCTCACTCTCCTTTACAATACCCACAAGGATATGTGCCTTTGGCATAGCTACATCCTCCGCAGACTCTAAAATTTTCTCCCTTGCAGCTGCCCTGACAACATATTCAGATTCAGAGGACGGTGCATTTGCATTTCTGATTTCAATTAGCTCTGCTAGGTGTGGATTGCTCTCCACATTCTTCTTAGCCCATTCAAGAGCAACATTAGTGACATCTACAAACAAAAGACAGTTACATAATTGAGTGTACACATCTCTCATTTAACGAGACAATGATTCACAGAACTGAACATGAAGTGCAGAAGGTAGAAAGGAATACCAGATCCAACAAAGGTCCATCCCAGTAAAGATGCTCCAAGGAGAGGGTAGATGCAATTGGCACCTGTTCCAATGTCAAAGCCCTTCACTCTCTCACTTGAACTGGATATTGGTGGTATCAGATCTGAGGAGAGAAGATCCTCGATCCAGTGAATGTAGTTGGACCTGTTTGGAACAGTAGGGCAGAGCTGTCCATCTGGAATCCACCTAACAGTAGCTAAGATTAAAATCGTGTTTAAACAATGGTCTAGCATAGCTATACTGCATGAAAATCACATCCAAGACATAGAGCAAACAGTGTGCGTGCTGCATATAGACTTTGATGGATTTTTTTTAACTAAACCTTTCTTAGTTTTAGCAAGGATGTAATTTGTAAGAACAAAAGTTACTTTTAATGTGGCCGTATGAGTATTTTCTACATCAAACAGTCTAACCCTAAAGCAGTAACAAATATTTACTGAAATGTCTATTTTCTACATCGAATAGTCTACCCTAAAGCAGGGACAAATATTTACTGAAATGTCTAAGCACAAAATATGCAAATAAGAAGCACGATGAATGAAATACAGTGCAACAGCATGCATGGAAAACTAGGTGAAACCTAGAAGTCAATGTTGAATTCAAACCAAAACGTAAGATTTTCCCGTTCACTGTTATCACTTGGTAGAGTACGTGTGTAACATCAGCAGTTTGTAAACGGACAATTAGTCCCAAATACTGAAAGTAGACAACAGTAAAACAATTCAAACTTCATACACCCATCACAGTACTTGTCGGTTTCATGGATTCCATGGGCAAGGTGGAGGGAACGATCATAGCCAGCAGCAAATTCGGCACAGGGGATCATGCTAGGGTTCATGGCAAGAGCCGAAGGCAGAGTAATAAGGGGAGGGGGGTTAGCCAGTGACACCAACCAGTTGACGCCATGGTCGTGGAGGAGGAGCACGCGCGTGAGCTCCCGGGTGGCGGAGAAGTCGGTGAAGTCAACGGACGCGCGGCCGCGGTCGGAGACGGAGACGAAGGGGCGGAAGGACGGGTAGAGCTCCGCCAGCGCGGCGAAGTCGGGCGCGGCGGCGGCGTAGCGGTTGCGCGGGTGCATCGACGGCGCATCCGAGCCGTCGCGCCGCCGCCGCTTCCGCCAGCCGCCCATATCGGCGTGGAGGTGGAGCGCCGGCCGCCGGCGAAGCACGGTGGAGGTGGAGGCGGAGGCGGAGGCGGAGGCGCAGACGTGTACTTTTTTTTTTTTTTTTGAGGAAACGCAGACGTGTACGTGGGCGGGCCGACGCGCGGTGGAAGAGCACTCGATTGTTTCTGGGCTTTCCTGCCAGCACGTCCGTAGACCTGATGTGGCCTTTGGGCTCTATCAGTGGTTGGGCCCAGGAGCCAATCTGACACAACGCGTCCGTTCTCGTTGGCGTGGCCTAAAAAGTTGACCTAATGTCATGCTTGGGTCAGGCTCGCGACGGTCAAAAAAGAAAAAAAAATACCGGGTAGCATTTTGAATTGGTCTATTTTCTTTTTGCGACTGTTTATTTACTCGGGTTAAGTTTTGAGAATAATTTTTTTTAGCGACCGTGATCCACACGTTTGGCATTAAAAGGAAAAGTTTTGAGAATACATTTAGTCACTACTCAATCTATATTCTGTACATACTACAAAGTCGTCGTCTTCATGTTCATCTTATGACGATGATGATTGGCATTTCTAAAGCATCTCTCTGTCCAGAAAAAGACGACAATTGGAAATTGGAATCACAAGGTGATCGCAATCTTGCCACATATATATAAGCACTTAGCTTGCTATGGTGCATATCTGTTACAGGACAAGTTAGAGACAGGTTATGCCATTGCCACACCTTTAGCATCCGTTAGGTTGACCAGCTAGCAAAGTTATTCTGGAGATGTGAACGTCAAAAAGAAATTTCGGAGATATGGAAGGGGACGAAAACGCCGACTCCGATCCCTCCATCCACCCCGCCCATCGATGCAAGTAGTGAGAAACGAATGAATTTGGGGACCCCCAAAAGGAGCAGCAATTGGCAATTGTGTTTTGGATTCTCGACGCAACGCGTTGTTGCGAATGCGAATAAAGAAGGGGTGTCCTATTAGGGATGAACTTCGGCTGTAGAACATGCTGCTCGTCGTCGTTTTTTGTTTTTCCATGGTTTCACGTTGTTTTTGAAGCAGGAATCATGACGCAGGGTTTGTGTATGACAAGTGACTTATGATGTGTTCTTAATATATAATATAATAATTCATCAACCATCAGAGACCTCACACCACCTGGGCTCCGTCAATGAATGCACTGGGTTTGTGTACGCAAACACAGCGGCAAGGGCGTGCTGTGCCCCTGTGCTGCACAGGACCATGCAAGCACGTATACTCGTGCTGTACGGTTCAGGAGTAGTACAATTAGCTAACCAAAAAATAAAAAAGACCTGAACCTGACTGTTGGGCCGGCGGCCGGCGCGGTCCAATCTAACTATCCAAGCGGCAGCAGGGCAGGCGGCCGCACATCACATCACATGCCGGGCCCCGGCCCGGGAATATCTCGCCCACTGGCACACGGCGGCAACGGCATATCCTCCCCCTACCGTCCTACGACGACCACGACGGCCGCAGCCACGTGCACCCGGTCCGTGCACCGCTTTCCCGGGGCGGCGCGCACGGCACCGTCTCGGCTCCCTGGACCACGTCCACCGACCTTATACGTAGACAAAAATCCAGCCCTTCTTCCCTTATTAACCCAACCCGAGTTAGGCCCCATTTGTACGGCTTCACTTTACTGGTGAAGCTATATTTTTTTTTCTTCAGCTTCATGAACAGTTTCATCGGTGGAGTTGAAGCGGTTTTGGTAAATCGTTTGGCAAAATGGCTTCTCTGTGAGAGCATGTTTTTAGAGACCTAGAGGAGCCGGGAGAAGCCACTTTTTTTTTTGCTCCATCCCACCTCAAATCATTGTGAGAGCATGTTTTTAGGGACTTCACTAGTGAAGCTATTTCACTTTACCCCATTTAGCAGAAAACAGCTCCAAACAGCTCCTGAAGCTGCTGAAGAAGCCTTACCAAACGGTGCCTTAGTCTAACCCACCCAAGCCTGACGTGGACGAGAAGAAGAATCCAAAGGCCTCTCGCACGCACGGCTACTCCCACTCGCTGACAAAACCGACCCACGGAAACCGGCCCCACACCCGCGTCACCCGACCCGAGAGAACCCGGGCTGTCAGTGGCACGACGGGCGCTGGGGCGGCCGGAGACTTACCTAACCACGGTTCCACTAACCCCAGTACCCCACCGCCTCAACCCAAGCGGGGTTAGCGCCCACCCCGTGAGATCGCGCCACGCGTCCAGATCCAACGGGTCTCCACCTCCCGAGCCGGCTATTTAACCGCACCGGGTCTCCCCCTCCCGTCCCAGGTCATCCACCAAATCCTCCGCCTCTGCTCAATTAACAAATCCCCCACCCAGCTCCAGATCCCAGAACCCTAGGCCACACCCCAACCCTCCGGCCATGGCGAACCCCCGTGTCTTCTTCGACATGACGGTCGGCGGCGCACCAGCAGGCCGGATCGTGATGGAGCTCTACGCCAACGAGGTCCCGCGCACCGCCGAGAACTTCCGCGCGCTGTGCACGGGCGAGAAGGGCGTGGGGAAATCGGGGAAGCCGCTCCACTACAAGGGGTCCACGTTCCACCGCGTGATCCCGGAGTTCATGTGCCAGGGCGGCGACTTCACCCGGGGCAATGGCACCGGCGGGGAGTCCATCTACGGCGAGAAGTTCCCCGACGAGAAGTTCGTGCGCAAGCACACGGGCCCCGGGGTGCTGTCCATGGCCAACGCCGGGCCCAACACCAACGGCTCCCAGTTCTTCATCTGCACTGTGCCGACCCCGTGGCTCGACGGGAAACACGTCGTGTTTGGGCAGGTTGTGGAGGGGATGGATGTGGTCAAGGGCATCGAGAAGGTTGGGTCTCGCAGTGGGTCCACTGCTAAGGAGGTCAAGATCGCCGACTGCGGCCAGATCTGATGGCTGTCGTCGAGCGTGCGGCCGCCCTCGTTCTCTCCGTCGTCGTTCGTCGTTCCGTTCCGTTCCGTTTCCCCTCCCCTCTGAATAAGATGGCGTTCGTGCGGCTGGTGATCTGAGAGGTGGTTGAGTACTTTGATTCTGAATTCTGTGTCCTAGAGTATGAGTCAGTCTGTCCGTTTAATCGTTGCCTCTCTGGTGGTTGCTAGGGTTTCATAGGTGGTCGATCGATCTTCGTCGTCGTGTTTCTGCTGTGTAATGGTGTGATCTGGTGATGAGAAGCTCTGGTTGCTTCTGATTGTGTGATGCGCTGACTGTTCCCCGGTTTTCTGATCTCTGATGCGCCTGCTAAGTGCCAAGTGCCGTTTCAGTTTGGTCTGTCAGTTTATCCATCCCCCCGGTTGTTTCTGTCGTTTTCTTTTTATCGAACGCCTATGGATCGTAGTGCGGCATTTTTTATTCGAATTAATTAAAGACGAGACCTTTCTCTTCGAACGTCATTGCTAAAGTGGCAAAAATGAAATTGAAAGTGGCCCTAACATCTGTTCAAACAGTGAACTAACTAGTGGATCGCTTTTCTAAATGCATTCAAATTTCGAACAACATGACTTTACTCGCCTAAATATCAGGTGATTCAGACAAGCTCTTATAGATAATCAAGTACGGTTGAGATGGGTTTCCGGATCAGCTGTCAGATAGCATCAGTACAGATAATGTGGCCGTCCCAAGGGAACATCACTCTCACCTGTTCTTGGCGCCTCTGCGCCTGTCCGTTCCGAATTGTTTGCCCTCTTAACCGCTGTAATGCTGCTACAAGAAGAGGAGGTACAGCCCCTCGTGATTATACGGGGCTCAATCATTGCCGAACCGGCGGATCATGCTCCTTTTGGCGTTGGCCACCACCATGTGTTCATTTAGACAACTGACAAGTGCCTCTGGTAGCCGTGGCACGACGACACTGTTGGGATCGGTTTAGTGCTTTGCTAATACGTGCCCACGATGCCCTGTAGTACTACTTAAGCTGTAACCCACCACCGGTCCTTGCACGTTGTGCTACTTCTATTTGCAGATGCTCTACTGGACGAGCAGGAGGAAGCTTCTTCCCCCGTTGGTTGCCGTTGTTGGTCCAGATGCGAATCAAAGTGGGGGAGGTCTCATCTCATCAATAAGACCATCATCAGAACATGAGCAGCACAGGTCTCCACCCGTGTTCCATGGACGCACCAAGGGGCAGTTTGGTTGCCGTTTTTTTTTTTGCAAAATGACACTGTAGCATTTTCGTCGACAATTAGTGTCCAATTATAGTCTAATTATGCTTAAAAGATTCGTCTCGTAGATTTCGTCTAAACTGTGTAATTAGTTTTATTTTTTAATTATATTTAATGCTTCGTGTATGGGTCCAAAGATTCGATGTGACGGAAAATCTTGAAAAAATTGGCATTTTGGGAGGAAAGACAGGATCTAAAACCATCGTCTCATTACTGTTACGCAGCTTTCTCTGGCTGGGCCCTCCCCCTCCGGGCTCCGGCCCAACCCCACTCCACCCGTGTTCCATGGACGCACGCAGCGCAGCGCCTCAGCTCGTGGTCCAAGCAGGAGTTCACACAAGCGGCGTGCACTGCAGACGTGCAAGTGGAGACGATATTTTTTGCTACTCATCTCTCATGCTAGGAGGTTCTGTGCTCAAGCAGGAATTCTCTGATCTCTCTCTCATGCTAGGAGTATGCTAAGACCCTCCCACCCCAGTCGTTCCTAGACTTGCCCATCCATGATTCGTCTCCAAAGCATAAGCATCCACTACTTCTCCTGCTCCTGCCCCCATGCACTCTGACCTCCGTCAATCTGGCCAGAGCGTCGTCACTAGCCGCCAACCAACTCACCGTCTCGACCGGGTTTGGAGCTCCAGAGCATAGTTAGCAAGAAGGCGCCATCGACGGCGCGGATTTGGTATACAACACTAAGTATGTAAAATGATGCAGTAATGCTTCATTGCTTCATTTTAGTGCTGAACTGACATGGGCAAAGCATGAAAATAGGGTATTGGGCAAAGTATGAAAATAGGGTATTGATGTCATACGCATGTACAATGAGTGCCTTTTGTGCTATACTACATAGCTCGCGAGCTAAACGGCCTAGCTCTAGTTGGACCAAGCTGAGTCAAACCGGCTCAATCGATATCAACCCCTACATGCATCCGTGGCTTTGTCTTTCACTGCATAAAAATCTAAGTCCCTATCTCATTCTCATCTCCTACGAATTGCTACGTGTATTTATTTGCCCTATAAGTATTTGATATGAGACGGGGTTAGAATCTAGCCGAGACATTGCATATCTCGCTTTTCAAAGAGTACGTCAAACGGTTTTAAATTTGACTAACTAATTGTAAAAAAAATAGCATTAACATTTATATCCCTAAATAGGTTCACGATGAAAATATATTGTTTGATTAATCTAGTGATATTTTTTGACGTCATAAACGTTAGATTCTATATACAAAGTTCGGCTAGGCGGCGACTACTCGGCGACTACGCGCGCCTAGTCGCTGGGCGAAGCCCGTCGCCACGACTAGGGGCATAGTCGCGCATCGCGGCGCTAGGCGGCGCGGAGGCGCGATAGGCGGGCGCGGACGCGGCGCGTAGGCGCGCGAGATGAGCGCGAGCTCGAGGGCGGCCAATTTTGGCGTGCCAAATCTGAGCGCGAGAGGAATTCCCGCGCGGCCACGAGACCCAGGCGCGGGAGGATTAGAAGGGAGCGCGGCGCCATTCGCTCGTCCCCGCGTAAGATTTGGTCGTTCCCGCCGCCGGTCCTCCTCGTCGGGCGAGGTCCATCCCGCCGGTCCTGCTCCTCCCCTGCTCGTCCAAGCTCGTCCCCTGCTCGTCCCCGACTCGCGCGCCGCCGGTCCTGTTCGTCGTCGACTCGCCGCCGCCGTCCTGCTCGTCCTCGACTGGAACCCCTCCCCGCCGGCCACCCCAAGTCCCCAAGGTGAGCTCCCTTCCCTCCCATGCTCCTCTCCCCTCCCATGCCGGCAGCTCCTCCCCTGCCCATCTCCCCTGTATGACTGAATCTGCATGTGTCTGTGTGTCTTCTTTTGTGATTTGTGAGACCTGAACTAAGAACTATGTGCTTGTGCTGTCCTTTATTTATAAATTGTGTTGTGCACTTGTATTACTGTCCTATCCACCTGTATTGTAATTACCAGCTGCTGATATGGTGTGCTCATGGATGGGAGGCTGCTGAAATCATCCATATAAGTCACAACTTAGTGTTTTATATTTTTATTTATGAACAACTAGCTGTCTATTAACTAATTTACTAGCTACTAGCTGTCAAAATGTGTTGCAGGACCTAGAAACATGCAAGACTAAGCCAGCTAGGAATCATATATGTCTACTGGCCCTCTTTTTATACTTACTGTGAGTCTATGACTCATATATTGCCAAAACGCCTAGGAAAACGCATAGGAGCGTCTAGAACCGAGTACTCCTGACTAGGCGCTAGGCAATGGGTCAGTGTCTAGATTTCGCCTAGCGAACTTTGTCTATATAGATTTATTATAATTTAAAATTAATGAAATTATTGGAAAATGAGATGTCAATATTTTGTTTGGCAGTGACGTTTATGTACTGTACGTAGCACTCTGAGAGTAGATATAGCTTTGCATCAAAGAGAGAGAGAGTAGATATACCTGGCTCAATTGGGCCGTGAGCCCACCTCCTCCATAGGGGCCCACCAAGGAGCGCTCGTGCTTCCGGCCTCAATATCGTCAACTTCAGTCAGCCCGTGGAAAACTAGGCTCCAACCAAATATCACGCCAACAATAACATCTCCAGCTGATTAAAAAAAAACTGCTCCAGCATACACGGATTCATGATGTTAACCCTTCTTTTTGAAACCATGATGTTAACCCTTCTTCTATTTGCTGAAGCTGGGCATTGGTTGGGATTGAACCTACGGCACTACTTATGATGCTATCAAAGGTACTGAATCCGTAAGCTTATTGATAGCATATTGCACTTCTTTTCTCGAATGAGAGAGGAAAGGGTAGAGCAAGCGAGGATATGCTTAATCCGCTTTGGGAGGCATATGCATCTCAGTCTGCACGGGCTCTTTTCGCTTTTCCCTCGCAATAAATATGTAAATTCATTTCGCATCTCCTCGAAAGAAAATGAGTGAATCCACCCCTAAAAAAAACTAACAACAGCTCATCATTCGCGCATGTCGCAATCATAGTAGTTATTAACATAAAATCTACAACGCCTCTATGATCTTAGCCAAGGGCTTTAATCCCACGATCTTGGTCCCTATATTTACGATTCTGACAACCTTGATCACAATGCGATTTGCTGATGGGAGGGTCTAGCGCCTGGACATCCGGACAAAAGCACGCGCTCGGATGCCCGCGCCGTGCCAGCCGTTCACGAGAATATTATTGTTGCTCAGCGCATGCTTAGCGTAAAACGCGTGCTCGCCCATGCCTGTCGCGCCCGCGTAAAACGCCTGCTCGATTATGCGAGGCGCGTGCCCTGCAGTCCGCATCTTTTTAGTATGCATCTAGCTGGCAAGCCCACGCCGTTGGCTTCTTCAGGAAACAGTACTGTGCGGCCCAGAGAGGAAACCGTCGAGCCCAGCCCAGGATTCCTGCCCAAAGTGAGCACAGAAAGGCCCAATTGTAGATTCAAAAAAAAAGAAAGGCCCAATTGCTACTCCCAATTTCAGCACATGCCAAAATTGGTGAGAGGGAACTACAGCAATCCTAAACCTACAGGCTACAGCAGTCGTACTAATAGTACCTGTGTTCCATTTTTTCCGTAAAAAAGATGTACTATTGTCCTGTTCGCTTGGCTGATAAGCCATATATGAAATTAGTGTTGGCTGATTTGCTGTGAGAGTAAAAAATACTGTTCATTGTCTGAAAAAGTACGGCACGACTTATAATCCAAGCTTACAGGGCATATGTCACTACTACGTACTTGTAATTGTAATGTCCTCCAACTTGCTGCAACGCCAATGCAATGATACATACAGTTAATCAATATTTGCTTACTTCTGATATGCTACTGATAAAAAATCTGACAATGTTCCAACACGATTCAGACGACAACTCGCTCATTGCCTCACTCTCAAATCAAAGCCTAGACATGATGAATATGAACATCTCGAGTTCCTCTTCCTCCTCCTGCCCACCCAATCTCAATTCTCATCCATGGCAAAAGAACAATTGCTAGCACTGTAACAAATACTTAGCTGCTATAGTAACACACTGCTACTACACTCACTACAGCTAGTCCGTTTCGACTAGCCACTAGCCTGGCTGCCACGCTTCAAAACTCGCACACGCGTCGTCGCCGTCGCCGTCACACTCACCCGGCGCGCCGCATCCTGCTGGACACGAGCGGGCACGCCGCCTTGGCCCGCAGGATCTCGAGGCGGCGGCGCCGCGCGCCCGCCGACACGGCCGCCTTCTGCAGCGCGGCTCGCAGCTGCGCCTGCCGGTACCACTCGGCTGCCGCCGCCGCCGCCGCGGCCCGCGCCCGCGCCTGCTGCGCCTGCAGCAGCTGCTGCTGCTCGTCCTCGTCGGCCGGCTCGTTCAGGTCCAGCACCACCAGTGGCGCCGGCACCGGGTCCTGCTCCGTCCTCGCGACCTGCGAAAGCGACACGTAGCCAGGGTGGTGCGGCGTCAGTCAGAGATTGGATGAAGGGTGATGGCATCCGTCGTCACACTGCCTTTTTCGCTGTTCTGCGTACGTATGGCATCTGAGCGTCGTTCGTGACGACACGGCGTCAGGCGTTCCTAAATCGGGAAAGGCGTCATCCAAAAGGGGGAAAACACAAGGGAAACAAACTCCTGGCACTACTCTAGATACGGTCAATGGCGATCGGAGAATCGAAATCGAAAATAAAAATCCTTTTTTTTGTAAGATAAGATGAACAGGATGATTGTTTGGAAAGGTCGCAGTTTTCGTTCCTAGTTGGGGACGGGGTGGGGCGAGCGGAGCTGGAGTGGTTGTGGTTGCCGTCCGTCCAACACGCAAGCAAGGGAAGCGAGCGCACAATAATTGAGCAGCAAGAAACCGTGCCGCTGCTGCGGTACCCCGTGCGTCTCCGTGGCAATCACGGCTACCAGATTTGACGGAAAGCGACCGAGAGAGAAGGAATCCATCCAACACCTCGTGCGACTGCGCGAGTGCAACTGGTTCATCAAGCTCTGCATCCGAGCTCTGCTGTGCAGTGCTCCTCGATCTGCTGCGTGGCTTGGTCTGGTTGCTAATGGGGGACGAACGCGAAGCCGCAGCGCTTGAATTTCTAATCAATCGCTCGAGGTCGCTAATCGCACAAGCAAGCAATCGACGGGAACTGGAGACACGCACACAGGGGAAAAAAAAATCTAATCTCTCGAGGAGGAAGAGGAAGGAAAGAGGAGGGTGCGCTGACCTTGAGTGGACGCGCGTTCTCCTGGGGCTGGGACAAGCTCGCCGCCGCCGCCGCCTCGCTGTGCTGCTCCTCCGCCCACTGCGAGCAGTCAAAGGAACAGATTAATCGTCGCCCGCCCGACCACTAGAGGATTTTTCTTCCTCCTATTTTTTTTTTCTTTCAAAAAAATCGGAAAGCGAAGCGACGGAAGAAGACCCGGGCGGCGGCGGCGACTGAGGCGCGCGCGCAGATCTCGCGCGCGGGCGGCTCACCTGGTCCCGTGGGCGCGCGGCGGCGACCTCGCCCTTGTCCTCCAGCGGCGCGTCGTCCCCGCCGCTCTCCGGGTACGCGAGCGGGGTGTCAGGGCTAGCGGCCGCGGGAGCTGGTGCCGGGTCCGGGCCGGGGGCCGGGGAAGGCTTGTCCTCCAGCATCGACCGCGGGCGGCGGCGGCCCCACGAGGGGATCTCCAGGTACGCGGCCGCGGCACACACGCGCTCGCGCCGCCGCTTCCGCCGGTCCCGCGCCCGCATCAGCCTGCTCATGTCGCACAGAATGGCGGCCGCCTCCAGCTGCTCCGCATCCGCCTCCTCCTCCACCTCCATCTCCACCTTCACCTTCGCCGCCGCCTCCTCCATGGGCGCCAGGGTCGGGGATCGGCGGCGGCGGCGGCAGCAGCAGAGCGCGATGTGTGCGAGCGAGCGAGAGCGGATTGCTTCCTGGGCTGCCGAGGCCGTGTGGTTTAATAGGGGCAGGCGAGCGCCGTGGCGCCACGTGGCACCGCGGCCGTGGGGATTGGCCGATTGGGTGGCCGCCGGGAGGATGACACGTGGGCCCCGCCCCACAGGGACTGAGGAGATTGACTCGCGCCGCGCCGCCGGTGCTCGTGGCTGGTGCAGTGCTCGCGGTGGGCCCGCCACCTCTTTCCTTTCCCTCTCCTCTCCTGCTAGATTTTCTCTCCGTATTCTGGTTGCAGTGTGGTGGACTGAGCTCCGGCCCCCGGTTTTTGGGGTTTGTTTTGTGTCTCTTGTTTTCCTTTTCTCGTTTCTCCCTGCATGTATCCGGCCCCAGAGCTGCTTTTCCATACGCCATGTCATTTACTCGTGACATACTGCATTTCTTCTTCTTCTTCTTTATTTGTTTATTTGATCTTTGAGGTCTCCCTACACATAGCACCATGAAAGAGTAGAACCACATTAGTCGAGTGGTGTTAGGAGAGAGGTTCATGGATGACCGAGAATAGTAGCGAAAGAGAAGAATAAGCCATACATACAGGGCGTGATTGATTAGGCTTACTACATGCAACTTCAATAGGTTTGCTTGCGTAATCTACAGCTGTACAGCTCGAACTAGACTAGCTGGAAACGCAGAAGATTTTAACGGTGGACTTTTCAACAAAGCGAACATGGCCTTTGTTTCTTGTGAGCCAAGTTCGACAAATGTAATTAAGGAGCAGACCTGCAAAGAATATGTCTAACACTGGCTACTAAACAATTTCTCAACAGATTTAGATCTCGCAGTAGCAAACATCCAAACGCTGGTGCCTGCAGCCATATGGCTAGACTCGACTCAGGCTGGTTGAGAGTTACGAGCCAGGCTAGGAGCATTCAATAAGTAACCAGTCACACCCTAAAGACTCGACTTAAACTGGTTAAGAGTTACGAGACAGCCTAGGAGCATTCAATAAGTAACCAATCACGTCCAAAGGGCGTGACTGGTTTCCAGCGGAGCCTAGCCTGGCTCGCATACGAAACCAAGCCCTAGCTAACCTGGCCGAGTCCATGTAAGTTAGCTGTGTTTGGTTTTCTGATTCCACATATCTTAGTCCAACTGACCTCTGACCTGTTGTTTGGTTGTCCAGATGTGCTCACGCACCAAGTGCTTCCCCTACCATCTTGTTCGCCCCCGCCATGTTCACATGCTCTGTTCGTTTGGCTAAAAGTACTGTTGGCTGATTTATTGTGAGAGAAAAATACTGTTCGTTGGCTAAAAAAATACGGCGAACCAGGCGACACCGTGCACCACGCTCGCTAGGACACCGTCCATGAAAACGAGAAAATTTTCCACACCACGCGAGGCTGGGGCAACGGTTTTGCATCGCGCGAGCCAGAGTGAGGATCTATTCTTGGCATCCAATCATGCACAGCTTGCATCGACCGTTCCCGGCTAGGCTCAAACCAGACAACCAATCACAACCATGACCAAATTAACTACTAGTGACATAGTATGCCACTTATACATATGTGATATGTCACCATAATTTGGTTTCCGTCTCGACTTTCTTGCTTCACCAGAGTCATCGAATCAGTGTGAGAATAGATGCAGATACATCGACGATCCGTATACTTGTTACCTTTACAGATGTAACTCGTGTTGATGTATAATACTCCCTCTGTTTTTTTACATATCGTTTTAGGTTTGACATATGTCAAACATTCTTAACTTTAACCGTCAAGTAAAAAAATCCATGTAGTTTCACGATACAGTTAAAATTAAGAATGTTTCACTTAGAATCTAATATTATATGCAAAGAAATAGAGGGAATATATTATTTTTGAACTCAATAGAGGGAATTTCTTGAGACTTGAGAGCATGAGCACAGCACAGCACAGATCGATGGCACTGCACCGACCTTGGTACACAAGCCATGGCTTGGAGCACGGTATGTACACGTCATGCGTGCATGCAGGCCCCACATGTCAGTCAGGACGACCATCCTGCAAGCTACGCATGCATGTCACGTGACCCTGGCGCCAGCGGCGGTGAACTGGTCCCACTTTCAGATACAGAGAGGCAGAGAGCCTTGTAGTAGACTAGTATAGCATTGAACTGCACCAGAAATTAATACTGTCCGTTAATTACAGTTTTTTTTTTGACAACATCCGTTAATTACAGTTGAGCTCTCCGGGTTCCCTCGGTCGCAGACGGAAGCATCTGGGCAGCGTACGCCGGCCCGGCTCCCTGAGGGCGCGACCTCCCGTGGTCGCCGGGCGGCGGCGGCCTCCCACCGTCGCCGGGGGCAGCGGCCTCCTCCTCGTCCCGCTCGTCTCCATCGACATCCCTACTCCCTCCCTCTGCAGGCAGTGGTACTGACGGTTTCATCCACACCGGCACACCGCTGGTGGACCAAGCAGTGAGCCCCCTTGTTCCCCTCCGTTCTGTACTCTTGGCACCATGACGAATTTTTCATTTGTTTCTATAAAAATGGAAGCAAAACTGTTGTGCTGTGTGTTAAATGGAAATCGTAATTGCTGTGGGTGTGATAAATAGAAACAAAACTACTGTGGGTATGTTAGATGGATTTGCCCTGGTTGTATATAATCAATGGTGAGGAATTTCTTCTTTTTGTTGTTTCCTTTTGCCCTTCATAACTTATGTTTTATCTATTTCTTGTCAGGAAACTGCACCTGTTCTGCATGTACTTTCATTTCTCGTTTGTTTATAAGAACTCAGATGATTATTTATCCAATAAATAAACAATACACATGAGTTTGTCTGGGATGATGCACATATGAAAACCTCTAGGTTGGTTTTGTTGCCATTTTGTTTTGCCGTAATTGATGGTATTCACCCAGGACCCCAAGCCCCAAGCCCCAAGATACAGCAGCGATGCACATTGAGCGATGTAGGATATGGTGGCCACGCCAGGAGCTGCAGCTCAAGCATAAGACCTTCTCACCGAGGCTCGTCCTGTTCGGATGGTTCTTTAGCAGTGCTGGTTCTATCGACATCGTCATCGCTGCAGTTGTGCCCCAAGTTCACATCCTGCGCTCTTTTGCCACACTCGACACCCTCCAGGTCAGTATTGATGATTCAGGTTAAACATAGTTTACCATTGTTGCTTCATTATTGTTTTTTTTGGTAGATGCATGAACTCATATTCAGCAATCTATGTGCCAAATGCAGTATTGTGAGATTCCCTTGTAAAATCTTAGTTGAAGGTGAGGAAGCGGTCCATTTTGTATTTAATCCCAAAGTAACAGGACTGCTTAAATCCAATTTAAAGTATTAAATGTAACTGACAAAGATTTAGGGTGCAGCTATAAGTTTAGTTTCTGTTCAGAGGAAATTACCATTGAAAATGTTGTGCTGTCATTTAGATGTCCAATCCAGTTTACTGTGGGTTCTTGAATGATATAGTTATTTTTTTCTGTAATATAGAAATAGACCTATTATAATTGTTAAGTATATGAAGGCCCATCTAATATAGGCCCATATGGCCCATGTGACTCTCTATATATAGCTATTTACACTAATGGAGTGATTGTCTTCTCAAATTCCAAAGGTTAGTAACATGGTAACAGAGCAAGGATTAGGGGTCCAATTAGGGATAATCTAATCCCTAATCACCCAGGATCCAATTTTTTCGGCCGTACGCCGCCCATCACGGCTCCTTCGTTCTTCATGCAGCTCGGCCCGTCATCGACCGTCTTCGTCACGCGCGCGTCTTCATCGCGCGTGGTCTGCTCGCCTTCATCGCGTGCTGCCTCTCATCCGTGCGACCGTCCGTCTGCCCGCACGCGCGCGACCGAGCGGCCGTCCGCGCGACCATCTGCTCCGCCTGCACGCGTGCCTGGCCGTCCGCTCGCCTGTGCGCGCGGCCATCTGCGGGGTCTCCTGCTCGTCGTCCGGCCGAACACGCGTGCTTCATCCTCTACTTCCGCAGAGACTATTTCCCGCTGCTTCATCCTCTTCTTCCGCTGCTTCATCCTCTGCTTCCGCAGAGACTATCTTCCGTTGCTTCATCCTCTGCTTTCGTAGAGAACATCTCAGTCTGCTTCCAGTCACGGTGGTAACAAATTTTCTTCATCCTTGTTGGTCCGCTAGAAGTTTTCAGTCATGTCGTAGCTCAACACTATTGTTATCAATATTACCCTTGATGGTCAGAATTAACCAGAGTGGGCTTTTTTTGTGGAAACTGCTTTAAGGGGTCATGGGCTCCTTTTTCATCTCACTGATGATCCTCTTGTACTTCAGCAAGATCAGAGTAATGCTGCTGATGTCAAAACTTGGCAGACTAATGATGGCAAAGTGATGGGTGCCATGGTTAACAGTACTAAGCAATCTATTATTATGAGTCTGTCCAAGTGTAAAACAGCCAAGGCTATCTGGTCATGCTTGAAGGCGCGCTATGTTCAGGACAGTGGTGCTCTTTTGCACACTCTTATGCAGCAAACTCATGTCATTGTGCAACAAGACATGCCTGTTGATGAGTACTACTCAGCTTTTGGTCGTCTGATAGTATCCTTGACCTCTATGGTGCCTAAGTGTACAACTGATGATTGTCCAGCCCACAAATTTATTGAAAAGTTCCTTACTTATCGTTCTGTCATGGGTGTCAGAGCGGAATTTGATTCCATACGTACTCGGTTGCTTCATGATTCTTCCACTCTAACCATGGCACATGCACTATCAGAATTGCTCGCTGAAGAGACGTCTCCGGTCTATGACCTCTTCCATGCATGTGTCTCATAGTGTGTTGGCTGCTTCTTAGAAGTTCAATACACCAAAGGGTGTCTCTCAGGAGCCTTGTCCGCATTGTGGCAAAAATGGCCATACTCTGGATAATTGTTTCTTGCATCATCCAGAGAAATTGGCTGAGTTCCGTGCTTGTCGGGCTGCTCGCACCACTAGGGGTCGTGGTACAGTTTCCACTCCTAGAGGATCTGTGTTAGTTGCTGCTGCTGCTGGTTCTTCATCTTCATCTTGGGTGCTTGATTCCGGGGCTTCTTTCCATGTGATGTCTGATCAGTCTCAACTTGTGGCCTGTAAGCCGGTTGCTGATGGTGCTTCTGTTCAGACAGCAAACGGTACATCTTGTCCTATCACTCATCAGGATTCTCTTTCCAACTCTTATTTCTCTGTTCCTGATGTCTCTTTTGTACCTCAGTTGTTTACGAACCTCCTTTCTGTTGGTCAGCTTGCTGACCATAACTGTTTTGTTGAATTTGATAACTCATCTTGCTTTATTCAGGATCGTCGCACCGGGACTGTACTTGGGACTGGCCATCGCCGTAGCGGCTCACCTAGCCTCTACGTTCTCGACACCTTGCGTCTTCCTCACATTTCCGCTCATGTGTCGTCCGCCACATCGTCATCATCGCCATCTACCTCGTCCTTCGCCAAGTGGCATCATCGTCTTGGTCATTTATGTGGGTCTCGTTTGTCTAATTTAATAAATAAAGGTTGTTTAGGTCCCACATCTATCGAGTCTAGTTTCCATTGTAAAGGTTGTAAGCTTGGGAAACAGATACAACTCCCATATTCTATTAGTGATTCTCATGCTGCTAAACCTTTTGATCTTATCCATTCTGATGTATGGGGCCCTGCTCCTTTTGCTACAAAGGGTGGTCATAAATATTATGTTATTTTCATTGATGATCATTCTCGATATACTTAGATTTACTTCATGAAACATCGGTATCAATTGTGCGATATTTACCAAACCTTTGCTCGCATGGTACACACTCAATTTTCTACCCCGATTCGAGTTTTTCGTTCTGATTCTGGTGGGGAGTATTTATCCGCTGCCTTTCGCCGGTTTCTAGACTCTGAGGGTACTCTTGCTCAGCTCTCGTGTCCTGGTGCTCATGCTCAGAACGGGGTTGCTGAACGCAAACATCGTCATCTGATAGAAACAACTTGCACACTTTTAATTGCTTCTTTTGTTCCTTCACACTTTTGGGGAGAGACTGTTTCGACGTCTGCGTATCTTATTAATAGACAATCATCGTCTAAATTGTCTGGTAAGTGTCCTGGTGAAGTTCTTTTTGGGACTACTCCTCGCTATGATCATCTTCGAGTTTTTGGATGTCTATGCTATGTTCGGCTTGCCCCTCGTGAACGAACAAAGTTGACTGCTCAATCGGTTGAGTGTGTTTTCCTAGGATATAGTCCTGAGCACAAGGGTTATCGTTGCTATGATCCCTCTTCTCGCCGCATACGTTGTGTTGAGGATCGTCCTTTCTTTTATAGCTCCTTTACAAAGTCATCATATGCTCCTACAGAGTCCACATCTTTTATATGCCTTCTTCCTATTTCAATCAGTGATGATGCCACTCCACAATGTGTGTCCCCTTCCAGCCAATTTATCCATATTCCTTCATCTTTCGACACCCTTGATAATCAGCCACCCAACCTTCCTACATCTCCATCACCCGACACTCTTGATAATCAGCCACCCAATCTTCCTACATCTCCACCACCTCTTGTTGATAATCAGCCACCCAACCTTCTTGCTTCTCCACCACGTCATCCACCAATTACAAAGCACTACACTCGTCGTCCTAAATATTCTATTCCTATTCTCGCTTCCTCGGCTAGTCCTAATGCTCCAAGTCATGCTGATTTTACTAATAATGATGAGTCGTGTGCTATTTCTGATGAGACACAGGTTGATCCACCATATAATCTATGGAATCGTGCTACTATTCAGCCTCCTGACAAGTTGGGATTTCCACGTGCGAGTGTTGTTGTTCATGAGCCATCCACTTATCAGGAAACTTCTAGTATTCCAGAGTGGCAGCTTGCTATGTCTGAGGAGCTTGCTGCTCTTGATCTTCAAGGCACTTGGGAGCTTGTCCCATTACCTTCACATGTTGTATCGATCACCAGTAAGTGGGTTTTCAAGATTAAAACCAAGTCAGATGGTTCTATTGAGAGATATAAAGCCCGTCTTGTTGCATGGGGATTTCAGCAGACTCCGAGACTAGATTATGAAGAGACATTTGCCCCTGTTGCTCACATGGCCATAGTTCATACTTTACTTGTAGTGGTTGCTTCATCTTCTTGGGCCATATCTCAGATGGATGTTAAGAATGCTTTCCTTCATGGTGATTTGAATGAAGAAGTCTATATGCACCCACCTCCAGGTGTTGATGCTCCTTCAGGTTATGTTTGTCGGCTTCGCCGTTGAAAGGTCCTAATATGGCTAGAGGGGGGGTGAATAGCCTATTTAAAAACTACAAATCAACTAGAGCAATTTGATTAGTAAGACAAATAGCGAAATGCAAACTTGCTCTAGCTCTACAAGGGTTGCAAGCCACCTATCCAACAATTCTAGTTGCAATGATCTATTTGCACACAATCTACTTGACCACTACTCACTAAGAGCTCTCACAAAAGCTACACTAAAGAGCTCCACTAGATATGTTTAAGGCACAAGGCAAGCTCTCAATTCTAATTACACTAAAGAGCTTGCTATATCTAGTTTGCGGAAATGTAAATGAGTAAGTGAGACGATTATACCGCCGGGTCGTGGAGTGAACCAATTACACGATGAATATATAGCCAATCACCGGGAGAATGCAAATGACAAGAGACAACCGATTTTTCTCCCGAGGTTCACGTGCTTGCCAACACGCTTAGTCCCCAGATTGTGTCGACCAACACTTGGTGGTTCGGCTGCTAAGAGGTGTTTCACAAACCTCGTCCCACACGATGAGGACACCGCAAGAACCGACCCACAAGTGAGGTAACTCAATGACACGAGCAATTTACTAGAGTTACCTTTCGGCACTCCGCCGGGGAAGGTACAACTCCCCTCACAATCACCGAAGGCGGCCACGAACAATCACCAACTCGTGCCGATCCTTCACCGCTGCTCCAACCGTCTAGGTGGTGGCAACCACCAAGAGAAACAAGTGAAATCCGCAGCGCAACACGAATACCAAGTGTCACTAGATGCAATCACTCAAGCAATGCACTTGGATTCTCTCCCAATCTCACAATGATGATGGATCAATGATGGAGATGAGTGGGAGAACTTTGGCTAAGCTCACAAGGTTGCTATATCAATG